TAAAATCCTCGTTCAGTCATTCGAAGAAGCTCTCAACGATCCGGTATCAAATTACGTCTCAAATTCTGAAGAAGAAAAAAAAAAGTCACTCTTTTCAGATTGGACTGCCCGTGTTTTTTAAATGTTTAACATAGTTTAACATAGATTATAGCAGTATTACAAGAAACTGGCTGTTTGTAGGATGTGACCTGTTAGTGCCAAATATAAAACTCCATGTAACCAGAATTGAGAGAGAGTAATTTTAATTAAGAGTATCAACAGTACATATTTTCAGCAAGAAAAGTAATTATTTTTAGAATGGATGAATAGCCATAGGTTAACATGTGCACAACCTAATTCTGATGGTTTCAAAATATTAAATGCAGAATAGTGCACAACAGAACCAATGGCCTGAATTTCAGACATCCACAGCTACCAGAAACCACTGTGGCTCCTCCGTCTGCTCTCAGAAAAAGAGGATAGAGTATGGAAGCAAAAATGAAGAAGAGGAGAACGAAGAAGCGGGAGGGGGTCTGAGGGTGTGAGAGGAGGAGAGGAGAGGAAGAAAAATGTAAGGGCAGCAAGCCTACCAGATCAAAGAAAATAACATGGGAGAGGATATGAGTGCTTTGAGAAGTAATATAGCCGAGATAGCATCTGTTTTCTGTAGCATGCAGGAGGCTTGAGACAAGACGGGAAAAAGACAACGGAGAGTGAGTGCACTTTAGCCGAGGATAAGACCAAACACAAATGGGTTATTAAGAAACCCTCAACGCAATATCTGGCTGACATTAAAGTGTCTCTTTTGAAATGATCCACGGCTGGAGCTTTCTACGATGCAGACTTAGATTAACCACTATACGGATGGATGAAGTTAAGGGCAGCATGATTACAGGAGGTGAAGTGTATTTTCTTGGAAAGGCGATTAAAGCAAGAATAAACAAATGTCATCACCGTCACCCTGCTGGAGAGCTCATAAAACCCAGAGAACTTTTTCAGCAACAAAAAGTTCAGAGGAAAACTTCAGGAGCCTGTTTGTGAAGAAAATAAGTTCTTGTTTGTTTTCTGGATTTCAATGCAAAATTTTGTATTTAAGATTTAATTTGTAAGACCGATAATCAAAAGCGATTTAAATATCTTCCTCGCCGACCCCAACGTCCAATTTTATTATAGGGGAGGAAGAGATGTCTCATTATGTAGATTGGCCATCTGAAATATAAAGACAAACTTACAATTTGTGTTGGTGATTAGAACAGGAAGCTTGGTTGGAATTATTAACAATTCTCCGATGATGCAGCAGTTTTCATCACAGACAGAGGTTGAAGGCTCAAAAGAATGCAACAGAGCAACGTCGCAGTAATATGTTCACTTTTCCTGTTACTTGCTGAAATCCGCTCCTGCTGCATTTGCCCCTCGACTGGTTCATTAAAATGACCTAATGGAGGGTACTGACTGATATCCCAGAGTAGATGGATGCTTTTCATTTCTGATGTTTGTTTTCCCCTGGAACAACAAAAACCACAACTGTAAATGTTCAAAAAAGTTAAGAAGCCACAAGACCCCCTGTCAAAGTCTAAATAAAAAATGGCTTCTTATAAAACAGATACACCTTCTCTACTTCCACTGACATGATTTTTAAGATACCTCACTCATACTAAAAATGCCTAACCTTGACAGTGTCCTGAAATAGCAACTTCAAAACTGCAGAGTGTGTTTGTTGGCTGGACCCAGTATAACTTAAGTAAGCTGTTCTCAATGAAAAAAGATCCAACTGGCTACTTACAGCTCACAGGCTATTAACATTAATAATAATAAAATTTCAGTGAGTTTAGGTGACCAGAAAAATGTTCTGTGAATCCTTATAATCCCTATATGTTTATGATGTAGAGCACTTTGAAATGCCTTGCTGCTGAAATGTGCGATACAAATAAAATTTGGTTTGATTTGGATTTATAAAAAAATAAAACAAATAAATGATTGCTAGTCTTGGAGGAGGGGGTGATCATGCAATGACAAGTGCCAATTAATCTTTTTCTTTTTTTTTCAAGAGAAAGGTTAGAATTTAAATCTTAGGCCTCTAACCTAGTTGTATTTTTACTGTGTAAAAACACATTATATGTTGCATTCTTATACAAGGCTGTTGAAAATCCAATAATGTCATTCCTGATCTGTTTTCCAAGAGTCCAGAATTGGATCCAGATTTTACTGGTTCAAAAGTCATATCCCTTCATCTCTTATTTCCTCTACCCCTCTTTTTCTACTTTATTTCTCCTTCCCTTCAACCCCCCACTCCCACCCGTCTGCTTTATTTATTGAAGGTCCGGTAGCATGCTCAAAAGTCATTACCCACACATATGTACCTTTTTGAATAATCAATAAATAATTATTGTATTATTTAATAAGGTGGTATGGAAAAGGAAAATGGATTTTATTACATAAATCTATCATGCATGATGAATGGCTGCACTTGTAAAGTTGGACAAGGCGGAAGGAAAAGTGGTCCGACCAGCCCCAGTCGCCAGTGTGCACTTTCTCCATGAAAGGTTGTAAATATGAAAATGTTGTCTCTTTGGGACTGTCAGTTGGAGTGCACAGGGCATTTGGGGAAAAGAGGGCTGTAAATTCGGAGAGATTAATTAACCAATGCATTTGCCATTCAGCCCTGCATCCTTTTTTGTATATTGCGGCCCCTGTGAGGCGAGAGGTGAGAGCCCTGGCTGCAGTCGGTCCACGGAGTCTGGACGGCTCATTCCAAATGAGTTATTAACAGAATTTTTTGAATAGATGGAAAAATTGTAGCTGGGCCATTTAGTGTCATAAAGGCTGGGTTGGCGAGGCAGCAGGGGCCTCCCAGGGACAGGAGGCAATACCATTACAATCAAATCTGAGATGGAAGAGGGATTGAGCTGTCCATTCTGAATTTTTATATTGTCGGAGGGCCGGGGAGGAAATAATGCCATCCTGGAGTGTATTAACCTCTGGCTGGGGAGAGAGGACAGGGGGAGCGTGAGAGTGAGCAAAAAACCAAGGCAGGCAGAGTGAGCGATTTGAGACTGGACGCCGTGGAGGAGGGGGGACTTAGCGGAGGGAGGAGGGCAACGAATGGGCCAGACAGAGTTTCATGCCTTATAGTTGGGAAGCCAAAAAGGGAGCGGCGGAGATATGAGATGGCCAAGAGACAGGGGAAACAATGGAGAACGCCGAGAAAGAATTAATGTAATAAGGGGAGGGGAGAATAAAAGTGCAACGGGAAGGAAAGCTCACGAGCGAGTGGAAGCCGGGCGAAGACAGAGGAGAGCTGGCAAGAAACAAAACGACGACTTCAGGTGAAACAAGAAAGAAGCCTCGAAAGATTGTGGGAACAGAAGGAAAACAGCAGCCAAGACTACAGCTAAACAGAAACAATGCAAAGGCATCACATAAGTTGTGGGTGTGATACACAACTCCCATACACAAATGATTTCAGTGGCTTGAAAGCATTTCAATGCAGAACTGTATAAATGTGTAGTTGAAAAAATGGTAACTTGCTACTTTGGCTATTTGACCTAATTTCTCTTTGTCGATCTGCTAAAGACTATTAAAAATCTTGCTTGTTTCAAAATATGATTGAAATGAAGCATACTGTTACAGACGAACTATCTATTGCAGTTGGTCATCTGAAAGACACCTACTTAAAAGGATGTGTTAATATATTTTTATATTTAAAAAATATATTTTTTATTTGTGAGATGTATGTGTTGTATATTTTAATATTTTTGCCATCACTTAAATGCAAGAAATACTACAAAATATTCAAATACATTTTTAAGTCTCCCCCCTGACTGATCAACATGTAACAGCAATGTGATAATGGGTTGTGTTCTGTCAGAGGCTTCTTCTAATCTGCTGCAGCACAGGCTGCTATTGGAGCCACCGCCATCTATAATAACTGTTTGGAAAGACTTCAATTGTGACAACTCGTGCAACATCTAATTTTCTTTTTAATTTGAAACCTGACAAAATGTATAATAATCATCAGGAAGGTATAATCCTAAAGATTAAACTTTCAAACTCCTTGAACACAACCTCAGTGCACTCAAGAAAGCTGTCATCACGTACATAGAAAGTAAACTTTAAACAAAGTCAGCCAATCAACTCAAGAATGGTGTCCAAACATTAAGCAAACTCACAAGAATATGCAAAGGAGTTATGACTACAGCTGTAGTAGTTAGCCTCCCTCCTTTTTTTCAGACGCGGTAGTGTGTACTCATTCACATTCATCTAGGTTCAGCTAAGAAAAATAAAACATAACATGTTAATATAAATCAAAAGGGAAAGATTGATTACATATAGATTCTCACCCACTTTTCTTAATGTTATGAGTTCATTATGTGAACTTGAGACTTATCCTCTATGTGGAGATGTTTCTGTTGGGAACATTTTCAAGTCAGTTGTCCTCTGCACAATTGTAAAAGCACATGGATGGCCAGCTCCTGTCCTGCTCCAGGAGCCACCTAATTAACCATTCTTTACCTGATTTAGGCGTGTTGAACCAGAGAAAGAACAAACACATGTACATTTTCTTATAGTTTCCAAATGCAGTATACCATAGTGATGCAAAAAACTCAAAATATATCGCTGGACCAGCAATGAATCAATATTACTGATTCATTTCTTTGCTATTTGTTATTCAAGTAACTGCAGGAAATTGCCAGGGAACCGGATTTACCGGATTACCTGGTGTTTGTTTTCTTCGTTTTTACAGTCCGACGTTCATAGCGAAACAGGAAACGGCAACACACACACTGCAAGTTCGCATGGATTCTTCCAAACAGGTGAGTCCACGCTATGCTGCCTGACTGTTTCCTCACATCTAAAATATATTTATTAAACAATGTACTGTTTAATTCCTCTCAAAGCACTGTCTTCTTTTTCATTTTGGGACTAAAACGGATTAATGGGTCGCGCAGTTTGATTTTTCTGCACCTGCATCAGCGCGTCTCTGTTGACCAATAGCGTTCGAGTTCAGAGTTCGGCGGAAGTTGTTGGCTGCTCCTGCCACTGCAGCCAGTGCAGGCTAGCAGGTTTTAGCAGGCTAGCAGGTTTACCTTCGCATTTGAACTGTTTGTCACTTGAAATCGGAATCATGAAACGCTCAAGTGTACATAAAAGATGAAGATTGTACGGACAGGGCAATGATTTCCATAAACATTGCCTCTGAAAAGGAGGAAATACAGGTTTAAAGACTCCCGGAAGTGTCACTGAAGGTAAGCAGTTCGCTTTTAAAGCTAACTTAGCCGGCAACGAAGAGCTATTATTGAAGTAATTCTTGTTTGTAATAACTTTGACAGGAAAACACAGAAAGCTGCAGCTATTGTTAGTAATTTAATTCCAAGTTTATTGAACGCAGACAATTGACATTCGGTATTTTGGTCTGTCTGGGATGCTGTAGCCCATCCAACATGCCTTATTCAGAACACGTAGCTACTTTATGCATCAGTCAAGTTAAATATTCATACAGTTTGGCCCGTTTTAAATGGTAGCTCAGATCGGGGACCTTTGTGGTTTCAGATCAGTAATTTTGATTGCTGATTTTGTTGTGATTTGCGACCACAACAAAAGTCAAATGTCTTAAAAACAATGCATTTGAAATATATCTTGACAATAAAATGTCATGTTTAACAGAAGGAATCTACAATTTTTGTGTGATCTGTTAAAATTTTCATGTAGAGCAGCACGAAAAACAAATGTGTAGTTGAATTTACTTGCTTTTACTGCCAGATTTGTGGCTGAAACTAAACTTTTCATTGGGAGGATAGTAGTGCATTTGAAACAGTGTAGTTCAGAAGAGAGCGATAAGGCTATCCAGTAAGGAAGCAATGCTTTAACTAGGATGACACTGAAATTTGAGTCAAATTATCAATAGCTGGTATCAACATGCTACATTTTACCTAGCGGAAAAGTGGGTCATTAATGAATGTAGCTTTATATGTTGTTTCAGAACATCTGGTTAACCCTTGCATATTTGACTGACATGTAAAAACTGGTGTGACAGGGGAAAAAATGCCTGTCACTGGCAAGAAAAACACTTTCTATATCCTTTGTCAAAAGCTACAGAATCATCATGCAGTGTGTTACTCTTCTGCAAATATGTGACATTGATCAGGCTGCCTCTTAGTTTTTGGTGTTTTTTTTTTTTTGTTCTCACAGATTCCAGTTACTGAGGACACAATGAGCAGCAAATATGGCCTGGTGGGTTACAACAGTTCACGGAAGCACATCTCCATCTCCATTCCGTCGTCCACAGAGGTGATGTCGCCTCACATCAAGTCTGTGGAGGAGCTGAGGGTTCTGGGAATCAACCTCACCAGCTTAAGTGCCCCAACACAGTTCTTCATCTGTGTGGCTGGAGTCTTCCTCTTTTATCTTATCTATGGATATTTGCAGGTAATACAAGTGGAAAAGAAAGAAACCTTCGATGAAATCAGAATCATGAATCTTGCTGTCGTTTTCTCTTAGGATATTGTGCTTAAGTGTGTTCTAATTTGTTCCGGCAGTACTCTGCATTCATTTCTGTATTTGTCCTTACCCCACAGGAATTAATATTTTCTGTGGAAGGATTCAAACCTTTTGGTTGGTACCTCACTTTGGTACAGTTTGGCTTTTATTCCATGTTTGGACTCGTTGAGCTTCAGTTCACGCAAGACAAACGCAGAAGGTACATATAGATTTGGTCATTTAATTGAAGAATTTTCCATGAAATAATATGTTGACAGAGTGAGAAACAAAATACGAATGAGTTGTAAGTCTTGCAACCAAAACTGGCTGAGATTGACCTCCACAGCTTCCTACTGCTACTAACTTATATGGCTATTTTACTGTTTTTGTTTTTTTATGGATTCAGAATCTAATTTGACAATCTCAAATTAAAAATCTAACATATCCGATTGCATGATCAGTGGAGAACTGGTTAATTCTACTCTGAGCAGATATTTGTGAATTATTTATTCCATTATCAATGTCTGAAAAATAATACATTGCCCTGAATATGTTATTTAACTTCAAATTTAAATTGAAAAACTTACCATCCGATGAGCTGAACAGTGTAGAAAACACAACATACAATTGTTTGAGGAGTTTCTGTATCTTATCGAAATCTTTATGAATGCGCTGAATTTTATTCTTTTGATTTCTGTGTTGCTATTATCGCCAAATAGCGTGCATCTTAGCTATTACAGTGTTTTCTCTTGGACTTCAAAGAATAAGATTATTTTTGAAAAGGGAGAAAAACAGGCAGATAGAAAATGTTTTCTTCTAGTCCACATAGTAGATCTACTAGTCTGTTTTCATTTCCATATTGTCTCTCTTTTCTCATTGTCTTTCTATTCTTCCTGCCCAGGATACCAGGGAAGACCTACATGATGATTGCATTTTTAACAGTAGGAACTATGGGACTATCCAATACCTCTTTAGGCTACTTGAACTACCCTACCCAGGTCATCTTCAAGTGCTGCAAACTCATCCCAGTCATGATCGGAGGAGTTTTTATACAAGGTTAGCTCATCTTAGAAATGGTTTTCATCGTTTTGATACTTTGAAGTTTTGTCGGTGTCATTGGAGAACTTCATCATAAATCAGTTTGTGTTTATAAAGTCATTTTTGTGTAATTGAATTTAACATCAGCTATATTTAAATATGTGGGAAATCTGAATAGGCAAAAGTTCAATAATTGCTTTTCTTTTTTGGCTTGTTTGATTTTTTTTATTTTTTTTAATTATTATTATTGTTTTTGTTTTGTTCCAATTTCATAAAGACATAAAAAATAGTTTAAGTCCTAAGAACCACAACATAAATGGGCATAATTGTAAATAGCCATATTTTCCAAGTCTTTATTTGACATAAAACAGTTTAAATGTAATCGGGTAAGACAGGTGGACTTTCTATGAGGGACACTTTCCACCTCACTCCTGTGATCGCTGGTATCTTTTGAAGCAGCTATCACCTTTCAACTTTCACTCCATCCTTTTCATCCACCTTTTGTTGTTTTCGGTCATCAGAGCTCAGTCAGCAGAAGCAGCAGCAGCAGTGCTGGCCTTTCTCAAGGTTCCATGTCCTAAACATCAGATGAGTTTAGTGCTCCTCTTTTTGCCCCCACTCCGTTTCCTTCATCTTTCGACGAGCAGATGTGAGGACCAGGGTCCCTCAAGGGGTAGAGCGAAAAAAACATTTGTTCCCTTGGAATGCAAGGAGAAGAGAAAGTGGAAGAGAAGGATGTGGGAGGGGCTCTCGGGGTTGCATCTGATGTGAGGCCCTTCAAAGGCAAGTGGGGGGAATCAAAGCCGACCACAGCTAACCTGATGCTGCGTCCTCTTGTCAACCTTAAGGCATCCGTCCGTCAGTCTGTTTTCATCTTGTTGTTTCTCTTCTATTCTTTCCCGTTTTTTCATTGTTTTTTTTGCATATCCTCCGAAACTTGAAATTGTGTGAAATACTAAAAGAAAAACTTTTCCGAGTTCTGTTTTAACCTGGTTTCTCAAACTATAAATATTTTAAAAGTGTCTCATTAGACTTTTACAACAGATTCGTGCATGATGCCAGTGAGAATTTTGTATTTTTCTGTGTGTTCAAGGTAAACGGTATAACTTGACTGATGTGTCTGCTGCTCTCTGCATGAGTCTGGGACTCATCTGGTTTACCCTCGCTGACAGCAAAGTAGCTCCCAACTTCAATGTGACAGGTAATTCTTTCACGGTCCACAAACCTGGGCAGTTCTCAGAGACAACCTCAAATGTCGTCACTTTAGTCCATATGGAGTTGTGTTGTGCTGCCTCAACACTGCCATTTTGATAGGGTAGTCATAATTTAAGGACCACACTGACTGCAAATAAACTGGTTTCAAGTATATCTCTTACTCTAACTTATTTGTATAATAAGTTAGAGAAAAAAAAAAGCTATTTAAGCATTGCTTTGTGATCTTGTCTTTATTTCTGAGACTTGCATGACTAACTACAGTACCAGGACTAGCATTTAGTACTAATCAGTGTCACATAATATGCATGTCACATTTAAATCCAATATGGTGTTTCTCTTGAGAAATTTTAAATTATTTTGTGCCTGAGAATCAAACTCTTTCTGGTTCTCCTTTTTATAGATCTTAGCATCTGTTTTTTTCTTCTCCTTTTTGTCTATGTTGTATAAAACATGAATTGAACCCTTTTGTTTTTTTTTTTGTTTTTTTTCTTTTAAAAGCACCTAGATGTAACAGATCTGTAGTAAATATGTGTTTTTTGTTTTGCAGGTGTTGTGCTCATATCCCTGGCTCTGTGTGCAGATGCCGTCATTGGAAATGTGCAGGAAAAGGCCATGAAGCTTCACAACGGCTCCAACTCTGAAATGGTAAATGGTTTTTTACATATATATTCACATATACACATATGGTGTGTGTGAATATATACACATCATATATATGTGTGTGTGTGTGTGTGCGTGTGTGTGTGTGTGTGTGTGTGTGTGTGTGTGTGTGTATATATATATATATATATATATATATATATGTGTGTGTGTGTGTGTGTGTTACTGCAGCACAATGTCATACTGAACATTTTATTTGTCTGGTGGGGAAGCTTAACAAACTTATTGGTTATGCTCTTTTAAAATAAATGTAACAGGTGTTTTTTTGTGTGTTTTTTTTTTTTTTTAATACGTCCTTCATTGTAGTTTTGAGGCACTTTTAATCAATAATTCAGGACTTTCTGTGTCTATGGGGTATAAATATGACATGACAGAGGCCCATTCTTTTACCCATCGGGCACTAAGCTGGATAAAGAGCCACGTTTATCTTGGCACTAAATAAAAGGCAAAACCAGTCGGCTGTTAAGGAGGAATGTCTGGATAAAACCTTTTCTATCGTACCAACGTCAATGTACACCTAAAAGCTGAGTTCACATTAAAGTTGGGGCTTTAATCTGAACTATTCAAATGAAACCAAGACAGAATTTTCTAAGCACAAAACACTCTTGCTGAGTTAAAAAAAGAAAACAACTGATTTAATATAATGATGTTGTGAGCCTTTCTTTGTTTGTCAAAGTATCTGATTTCTTTTTGGGGAAGCGTGGCATCTTGAAATGTTTAAAATGTCAGGATATTTTGAGTACAAATTTGGTGGCGTATACCTTTAAATTGAGGATGGGTGATCGTTTTTAGTTAAAGTTGGCCAAACTGTATGGCCGAATAACAGAAATGGGTAAACATGATCAAAATCAACCTTCTCCCTGATCATCTCAGTTCCCAGAGCTAAAGGCCAACATAAGTGAGCACTCTGGGTAACCAAAGAGGAATGGTCAACCAGTCCTCTCTATTATTCGCCAACCATGTGAAATGCTGTGATTGTACATAGATTTTTACAATGTCTTGAATACAGCTGTCCCAACAATTGTGCTATTTGTTATTTCATAAAGTGTTTTATTTTCCACTTCAAAAGAAATGTTTTATTTATTTCCAAGTTTTAATCCAAGGACTCCTTTGCTTAAGGTTTATTTTTTGCCAGGCTTTATCACCAGACGAGTGTCTCTCTGACTCTCAGTGAGAACATATTGACCTGCAGATCTGTTGACATGTTGGACATAAACACAGGAAGTTTTTCCCTGCTGATATTTGTGCCTAGTGTTTCCAGTAAAGGATGAAACTAAACCCCAAAGTGTGACATCACTGATTCATCATTTAGCCGTGTGTTCACAGGTGCTGTACTCGTACTCTATCGGTTTCATCTACATACTGGGAGGCTTGCTCTGTGTGGGTGGGCTGGGACCAGCTGTGGCTTTCTGCTCAGAGGTAAATATCCTGTACGGCTATGCATATCCCTGACTGTTAATGGGTTTGACTGTGTTTACTGTGTGTGTGTTTTTAATCTAATAAAATCACGTTTACGTGCATTCTGATTCTAAGTTTGTGTCTCTGTGCTCTTTGATTCATCCTTTTTGGAAATAAAAAAGCTTCTGATTTTTAATAGACCAACAAGTCTGCCCGAAGGCTCAGAAAAGACTCTTATGTCTCTCTTGCAGCATCCTGTTAAGACGTACGGTTATGCCTTCTTCTTCTCTCTTACGGGTTATTTTGGGATCTCCTTTGTGCTCGCCTTAATCAAGCTGTTTGGCGCCCTGGTTGCAGTAACAGGTCAGAGACACAGCAAAATATTTTCTGTCTTGTGAGATGTTTCTTTTTTTTTTTTTTTATATTTGCATACTTAACGGCACAAAATGTCTGCACTTATTACTACATGATAAAATATGACAGGAACTGTCATATTTTTTTTAAGCTGTACGGTTTTAAAAACGTAGAGCTGTTTTTAAAACCAGTTTTTGTGGCAAAAAATAAAACGGTATTGTTAATTTTCATTTGAATCACACAGGAAAAAGATGGAAAAAGTTTGTAAATAAGTGATTTTTCTCATTCATATGCCATAAACCTTTTTTTGTTTATTTGTTGTTTTTTCTCAGACGTATTTGTTGTCTCTTTAGGACCAATGTGCATAACATAAAAGCTTGTCAGCAGTTGAAAGTCAAGTTTGAAAGTAACTTGTGTTGAACTTTTTTGATCTTTTTGTGATTTAATATAGAAATGTAAATGCTCCCTTGCTTTTGGTTGGTTTCTTTTACAGTAACCACTGGAAGAAAGGCCATGACCATCATACTTTCCTTCATGTTCTTCACCAAACCGTTCACTTTTCAGTAAGTACCATCACCTTTTTCACTTTTGGCACTTCAATCTTTGCTTAAGCTCCAGAGTGCCGTGGTGCCACTGATCTCTTCTTTGGTCTTCTTGACTTTTATCCTCTACTGTTCCTCAGCTCCTTACTGTTGTCCTTCACCCTTTACTCTCTGACTTATCGTCTTAACTCTGCGGTTGTGTCAGAGGGGACTGATTTTCTTCATACCTCTGGCGCTGCTTCTTTGTTGTGGATTTTGACATGCATGTCAAGATATCTCTAAAAAAAAAAAACTTTTGTGTAACCTGGCCAGTTTCATTCTACCAGTTCTTTCTCTTATAACCTTTTATATTTTGCCATTTTTACTTGCATTTTCTGCTTCCCCCACTTGAAAAGTGTTGCATTTAGTGCTGTTTTACCCTTGCTTGCAGAACAGCAGACACAGTGTCAATCAGAAGTTTGCATACACTCATTATTGATTGGTTTTGGAATCAGACTCTGCTTTTAACATTGCCCGTTCAGGTAAAAAAAAAAAAAATACTTATTATAATCTCGTATGAATTAAAGAAAATCAGTTGTAAATCTAAACTAACCTGATCCTTGTTTTTTGATATGACTTGAAGGTTTTTGTTGTATCTTCATTCCACCCTGTAAAACAATCAAAATTAAGAACAAGTTAGGGTCCATGGTTGACTGCAAATGACTCCAATACTTGTGGCTTCGCCTTCTAATAATGCAAACATCATCCAATAACCTGTCAAATAGAATTTTGTTTCAAACAGTTTACAGATGCGCTGTGTATAAAATCTGAAAATAGATACATTTTCTGCATGTAATTTGGAGTTTCGTCCCACAGAAAACTCCACAAATACAGAACCATGAATAGGCATGTGAACTTCTGATCAGCACTTCTTGTGGTTTTGCATGGGGAGAAGAAGAAAATTGTATTCTTAAGAGGGCATTCGAATAACAATTCATCAGCATCATGTAAGCATTCTCTCCGTGCCATCTTTACAATTTCAACTTGTCTCGCCTTTCAACAGGTACATTTGGGGCGGCCTTCTGGTGGTCTTCGGCATCTTCTTGAATGTTTACAGTAAAAACAAAGAGAAAATGAAACTCCCTACGTTAAAGGACGTCAGGAGCTGGCTGCTGACGAAAAAGAAAGTCCGATTTCTGTCGCAAAACGTGTAGGTGGCCCCCGTCTTCCCCTGCCGCCCCCAATTCGGCGGAACCCCGCACAGACGAGACTGCTTCCAACCTCTCTACGCCTCGGTCCACGATTTCCAGGGGATGAGCCGAAGCATGTGCCTGAGCAACGGCGCTACATCACCATCAATACCCAAACCACGGATGGGTATACAGGGTCTGACCTCCAATCAGCCTTACAAGCAGCTGACATGATTAAACTGTGGTTCAGGGAGTTGCCGGATGATGTTTATATCTAATACCAGAACTCTGCCGGTTAGCTGGAAGCGCTGTTAGAAGAAGTGTATAAAAAATAAATAAATAAAAGAAAGAAAGAGACATTTTTATAAAAGGGGTTCAGTGCCTGGTGGGGTCTTGCAAAGCGAACTTTAGAGCCCCACAGAAACATTCCCTGCGCCGGGTTGAAGCCGTGAGGACCTGCGAGACTCTCTAAAGGGAAGCCAGCTCCTTAGCTAACCAAATTGCAGTTTTGCACTGGAATCAACTCAAACCCTTGAGTGGTTGGAAGAGAAACGAACTGTCGGAAGGGAAAAGATAAATCCAGGGACGTATTGATGTGCGTCATGTCTAAAATGATTGTCGCCCACCCTGTATGACAAACAAATCGAAACATTTTGATAAGAATTTGCCCCTCCCCTCATCCACCCCTTGCATGTGCCAGAGAAACAGTGGTGTTTTGCATAATAAACATCTTTATAAAAGTGGTTTTTCATACTTTCTGGGTAATTTTAAAAAGTGGTCTGTCTGGTCACGTGATGAGCATTTTGAGTTCTACATGATTATTTGTGTTGCCGTATTGCGACACTTTGTCAACTGCCATAATTCGTTAATCATTTCTGGATGAAAGGGTCCATCTCTTTTACAATAAACTATGTATTTAGTAATTACAGTGATTTGTGTTTGTGTGGTTTTGTCTGCCAGCCCCTTTCTCTCTCCCATTGCGCTGCTTCAGAGAGGAGTTGAAATGTTGCCAGAATCTATCTGTGTGTGTTTATCCATCTAGTGGCCTAAGGCGTGTTTGATTAAGAGTCCTGGAAAAAGAAAAAAAAAGGGATGGTGCTGCTAAACAGAAAATAGCAGTCTTTTCTTTCTATAAGCTATTCTATTAATTTGCAGACATCTTATTTTAAGTGATGTCAGTCACACAGTTGCTAAGTTAAAGTCTGTTAATTGATAACGTATTTAAGATCTTACTTGTAAATTAATGTCTTTTTTGTGTTGGGCCAGAATTTATTTTTTTTCTCTCAACAATTTAAATTGGTGATTAAAATGTTTTATGTGATACATTAGCATTAATTTGGTTACGGCATTTGATTACATGCTGATTTGCAGTCCCGCTGTCTTTTGTATGAACTCCCCTTCAACCAAATCCTTGCTTTTGGTTTGAATATTCATTACCTTAGAGAGTCCTATTTATAGTGCTGGCCACATTTATTGGCACCCCTGGTGAAAACGTGTCAAAAGCCTTGAAATGAATTCATCTTTTATTGCAATAGCATAATCACACACTGAAAACTGTAGAAAAACCCAGCTTTTGATTTGGATACATACTTTTCATTTTGTGGGAAGAAATGCAGGTGTGTGTGTGTGTGGGGCGGTGTGTGTATGTATTAGGGAGAGTTTGTGTGTGGCCTTTGAACTCTTTTTCTGCTGTTTAGATGGTTTTATAATTCATGCGTCCAAATGACCCATAAGACAATCTTTGTACCCTAGTGGTGAACAGCTCACAAGGAAATATAAACAAAAACAAAGTATCACTTTTTCTAATGATGGGGTGAATTTAGGAAAAGTCCTAAAATTTTAAGTCAGAAAAGGATCTTTAAAGGTTTTTTTTTTTTTTTTCTACAGGTAAATATACCAATATAAATAAGACAACGGTTACCTGAAACTGAATGCTTTGGCCAGATGAGATTAGGATTTAGGTGTTTGGTGAAATAACACTTATGGTGATTTTGACAGAAGGAAAGGATGAAAAAGCATCACACCAAGTATGGTGAAGGATAACTTCTCTTTCTGTTCTCTGATTGACCTGCTTCAAACTTATTATTGCCAATCATCTTTAGAGAGAATCAAATTCCATATTCAGTGATGATATCACTGAATATATATGCACATATTTTATTTATTTTTTTCTTTTGTACACATTTTTAGCAGAGGTGCAAATAAATGCGCCCAGAATTATACAGTTTATCCCTGGAAAACAACAGTACCTTGCTACAATAAAAAAAATAAATAAATAAAAACGTAGTCTTGTTCATATTCACAAGCAAATTTGTGGACTAGTTGAAGAATCGGAATCCTTCGTGGTGTCATACTAGCGTTTAAGTTCTAAATGGTGTTAATGTAAGAAACAACTTATTTTGCACAGCTTTTTAAGGTGTTTGATTTTTCTGATAAAAGTTCAGTCGTCAAACTTTGAAGGCAGCGTTACAGTAGGAGCATTTGGTTGTGTTTCAGAGATCTTTTGTCCTTCATTTCCACCGCCACGCTGTGAAGTAGCAGAGGCTTGCCAGCACAGTGGGGGGCTGGATGAGAGTGCTTCTCTCTGTGATCCTAATAGAGGCCCAGATATTACAGTCTCACTTCCAGGCAGGAAACCTAACACTGGGCCAATTAGTAATTTGGTATTTCATAAAATTTGGCAGCTTGTGTGTGGTGACAAACTGACAGATATCTTCTCTCCTTCAGGGAACCTTTACACTCACACACATGCACACACAGAGGACTGTTAGGTTTTTTTTTAAGTTTTTTTTTTCCTCTTAGCAGCAAAGTGGCAAGTTCTCCGTGGAATGAGAGGACACATCTTAACTGAAACCAACTCTAGATCCTTCTTCGTTTGTCACAGAGTAGGATTTCAAACGAGAGCCGAGTAGAAACAAGCACAAAACTCCCTTTTTTTTTTTTTACTCCACTCAACTGATGTATTTGTGTGATTTATGAACAGCAAAACAGTCCATTAGAGGTTGGGAGGTCAGACTGCTGCACTAAAAACATTAGTTTGCCATTGCACACATTTGATGTGCGGCGTACTTCATCGCTATGGGAACACCTATTCTCTTCCAGCTCCCTGAAAGGTCATTATGGGATGGGAAAGCCCAGTTGACCCAAGGCAAAGTACATCATTTGTCTTTTGCACCAGGAGAACACACCTAACAAAGTAGGCTGACCCCTGTTAGAACATGGAGGATTTTTGGCCATTTTTCAAAGCAGCAAAGCAATTTGCCATAAACTGTAGTCAGCTATTTTTTATTTAGACTAACATTTATAGATATATTTATATATTGCTGTTTCCTAGCACCCTGTCATCAGGAAGGCTGTGAGATGACAAATGCTTCATTGAATGCTCAAAGGAAGCTCTGTTCCATACAGCAACCTATTAGAATTAAATAAATTACTTTCCTGTTTTTTTTTTTATTTGTTTTGTTTTTAGAAAGTGATGTGTACACATCACTTTGCTCTGGACAATTTTTTTCTTTCCTATTTTTTTTTTCATCCCTAGTTTATTTTAGGGTTTTCAGTTTCCTTCCTCCTGTCTTCCTACTTTAACCCCTTCTTCACGCGCACACCTGCCAGCCGAGGACAACCAGCCTCACACCGCTCTCATCCTTTCTAATAAATAATGGTGTAGGTGTCCGGATCTCATCATTCCAGCAAATAGGCTGCTTTATAATATGCAGTCCACTTCAGATAGGTTGCCATATAATATGTGGTCAGACCTCAGACAGCCACGGCGGGAGAACTGGCAGCACATTTATTACGGGGGTAGGCGCCATGGTGGGGGCAGCAAGGTGGATAGGTGAGAGATATAAAGCCACCGTGTCCACATTTTAAAGAAAATACAACTGCTTTGGTTACCTTAAATTGGAAATTAAAACATATTATATATATTTATATTATATATAAAGAAATAATTCCAGTTTTATTTTCTTTTTAATAATAGAGACGTTATACCATCATAAACGTCACCAAAATAAAAGCTTGTCTAATTTAAAATACTCTTGTAAAAATGTACCAACTTGGCCTCCCTCGATCTCTGTACTGATAACTAATAAGCAGTTTTATTGATTAAAACCAAGGATGATACGTTGTTGCCACAAAACAAAATATCTGGATATGAAATTGACAACCCCATAGTTTCATATTCTGCCAATATCGGTGCCATCCACAGTAATTCCTCAATTAGTTCTTGCTTTATGTTAAAGAAAATTCTCAAGAAGGAAAGTAATTTCAACAAGAAAGTAATGAACTAAATGGGACTGTGGGTGACAAGATGGTGACTAAATTTCTATAAAGTAGGTTTTAGTTGCCACTTAAAGCTGTTTGTTGATGTCACTTTAAAAAAAAAAAAAAAGACCTGTCTATCAAATGCATAGAGAGCTTTGACAAGCTAAAGCTAAAAATATTCTATTCAAATTACCAGTGCGCCTAAATTAAGCTAGGCCTTTCCATCAAATTTTAGCATCTATGCTAAGCTAACTGTGCTGTGTCAACAGAAATCTTTTCTAGTGCTGGGCTCCTTAGTCTTCTGTCCTTCTGTCCTTCTGTCGTTCTGCTATGTTGCCTCCTACCTCCTTCCTTCACTTTGTCTCCCCTCCTTACTTCTCACTCCTCCATCCTCTTCCCACCCCGGACTCATTACACCCTACCCACCCATACCTCAGCCTCCGCGAGAAGCTTCGCTCATATAATATGATGGCCATCTGCTCGGCTGAGCTGTGCTACCCAAAAAGCCCTGGGGCTGGATGTTTATTTGTCGTCCCCCTCCTGTAAAACTCCTTTAAGGATGCAAAACATATCAGCAATCATCACAGCTACAATTAGCACAGGTGCTGCTGAGCTGTAAAGTGATCAGGAGGAATGGGAGGAAACATAATTGAAGTGGATTAGGATGGAGAAGTGGGAGGAGAGAGAGAGAGAATGAAATAATAAAATCGGAGAGGCTTGGACACCAGCCCTTTTCTGTGCTGCTGTTTGAAATTCACTGGGCTGTAATTAGAATTTGTGCAGAAGTTGTGGCGAGGAGTTTTGGTTTTCAGCAGCTGTCAAGTGTTTTCTGCCCTGCTGGTTCCATAAATGGAGTCCTCTCAGCTAGAAATATGGATTGTGTAACCAAGATCACGTCTCTTTATGGATAAATCCATATATTTCTCAGCTAAGCCCAAGGATCTTTTTGTCGTTTCTTTGTGTGTGTATCCTTGTAAAGTCCAGAATATGCCGAGCCCAGCTCCCTCGTCATCACCTGCTGACAATATGTCCGCAAACATTTCTGCAAACACATGCAAACAAAAAACTCCGCTGTATAGACACCCACGCCCCAACGCACACACACACCATTTAGCTTGCTGGAGCTGAGAAGAAATATTCTGCTGCAGTCACTCATGAGGAGAAATTCTTAATAATAAATATCCAGCCAATAATGAATGTGCTGCTGGCTGCAGTTGTCTTGGGGGCATAATATCTAATTTCCTCCCAATGTTTCATATCCCTACTCCTGCATGTCGACACAGTCCATCATTACACTCCAGTGCAGGTTCCTATCACTTTTATTTATTTTTCAAATCAATATATAAATCAAAGCTCGGACAGATGAGATCCAATAAATTACAGAGTGCCGGACAAACGCGGAATGTTAACCGTGGACCGGCAGAGGAGATTCCCATGGGTCCTGCCTGGTGTGTGAGCTAATGCAAAATCTACTAAATGTCACAGTAAATCGCAGCAAACTTGAATATTACTTATTGCCCCCCCACACCCCTCTTTTTGTCTAACTTCTTTGACATCTCATATGAATAAATTTGGAAAGGTTTTCATGTCAGCCGTAATGATCTTTATAATTTTCCTCATGTCTTATTAAGCAATGTCATTTTTATATTATTTCATAAGATCAAGAATA